CAAATTTTGATATGAAAATATCATCTATACCATTTTTCATATTTTCCTTTAACAAAGACAATGTTCATACAACTTTTTTCACCAAAAAAATCAAGATTATAACAAAATGTTCTGACTTCCCTATCTTATCCGATTTGTTTTGACGTGTGGAATAACAAATGTCGTAGAACATTTTGTTATAATCTTGATTTTTTTGGTGAAAAAAGTTGTATGAACATTGTCTTTGTTAAAGGAAAATATGAAAAATGGTATAGATGATATTTTCATATCAAAATTTGAGTTTACCACTGTTTCTGCTTGATCTGAACTTTCAGGCGTTTATATAAACAAAACTAAACTTAGAATAAATTTTGTTCTATCTGTTACTGGATGGTCGAATGTATTGCTTATATAAAAGAGAAAAACAAGACAAAATGTGTGCATGGAAAGGAGGAAAGAGAGGAGAAATAAAGCAAAAGTAACAAAATAGAAAAATAAAAAATTTACTAAAAGAAATCGTTGAGATTGTGGTCACACTTGAAAAGCTCAAAATGGAATTATAAGAACCCCGCTGTCGGCGTCGTCTTGAAATTCTGCATATACCAGCTTAGTTTCATCAAGTTCGGTCCGACGTGGACCTTGCACTTAATTTTCTAATGCACCACATTAGTTTACTCAGGCTTCATGTCGTTCGCAAAATTGTCGGTGCATCGTGCATTTTTAACTAAATTTATTTCTTATTATTATAAAATATTCCTTTTCAAAAATCTTTTTTGGTTTCTTTTGGAGTTTTGCGTTAGTGATTTCTGAGATATTAATTTTATGATTGGATTAACGAAGAATATATGTTACTGCTAGATTTTTCATTTTCAGACTATATGGTATAATGCCGTGTATATCTACACTGCGAGTACAAGCACCTTACAATAACTGTCATTCTGCCACCATTTTAGTTCATCAACTTGGTGGTAATCAACCTGGTCGTCCTCAATTAATAAATCCTGTTACATTATTTAAATTTGTTCAGTTTTTTGACCAGCTAGATTTATGCGATCAATTCATTAATCATAATGATAATCAAAACAAATCAATATCATTATTTACATCAGGCGAAAATATTTTACAAATGGGTGGCTATTTAAGTCCTGTTAATAGGCAGATCACAAATGCGAATGTGTTTTGTATGAATACTGCTGCCATTATGACTACAGAAACGTGGAAAAATCAAAATGGTTATGACAAATTACACAATATTTTTAATGCAAACAAATTAGAAGAAGAATTAATCCATTTTGGTATTCGTTATTGTAAGATACTTAGAGATGAAAATATGAGAAATAATAGGCGTGCAGAAGCACAAACGAACCAGTATGATGCATTGCAGTTAATCGTAGCGCTAGGTATCAGCTTACAAACTTTCATGGACGAACTTCCGGATAATGATACGGCTGAACAGCCATTCGAATACCCGTTATAATATAATATTTTGTCTTCGATTTTGCACGCTTCTTTCTGGTGCTCTCTACAGTTGCTTTTGATAGGGTGTATATGAAAATTAAAACAGAAGCTTTTGATTACACCGGTCATCATCGTTGGCTATAGTTCACAATAAAACAAGTAACGTTCATCTTCAATTCACAGACTTGATTGGCTCAAAGAACCGACTCGGGAATTGTTGCTGTTCTTTCGAAAATGTGCCCCGTTTATACACATCCTGAGTTTGCATCAGGGAATGGTACGGCTCGGGAGAGTCATTATGACACAAAATCTGCTTCGTATAGAACTAAACTGTCCTAGAGCCTCGTTGCCTGTAGCGGAAAACAGCGTTATGCTTGTCAGATTTTTAAGGGTCTATAACATAGAACAAGGAGACGTACGTACTTACACTACACTTATCTACAGTAGAATTTAAGAATTCTCAGGTAAAGATTTGAGAACTTTCTTTCGGCTAAGACTCATAGAAAATGTTGATTCGCAGTTGTACTAACCAAAATAGGTTATCTAGTGTTACTATCACAGTCGTTCTATCTGGAATTCAACATCTGACAACACTCAATTTAAAGTAAAATGTAGATCTTACTTCGTTCGTTTTTCATATTGATTAGTTTCTCGTTGATTAGCGAATAGTATTCATGATCTGATGGTAGTGTATTCATGAGAAATTCGTAATAATGTTGAGCATTATCATACTGATTTGCTTGATACAAAAGCTGTCCAAAATTTATTAATGGTGACTTGTGATCAAAGTGATTCGTAAGTGACTTCAATAATTGTTCAATAAATTCTTCATAGCATAATTTTAATTTAATCAACGACATTCCATCTGATAATAATTCAACATCTTTAATTTGAAATGTACTTCCCGGCGAAAAAAGTACTTCATCTTCTTCCACAAAGGAACTGAATTTTGAAATATCGGCAAATGGTTTCGTAGTCATATTTGGATGAATTTCTATTTTTACTATTTTTAATATTAGTCATTTAATATTATTCTTTTTACAATTAGTCTATAAACTCAACATTTGGGTGAAAATTTAAACTTTTTCTATTTACAATTTCTTAGTTATTATATCCAGAAATACGTAGACAGAAACGGAACAAAATGAAACAGCCAAACTAAAGAGGAGAATAACGTGTATTCTATCAACACAAAGTAACATAGGAAAATCGCTGTTTGTCGCAGTTCTACTATAAGACAAATATAGGATATATTCATTCTCATTCAAACAAAATAGATAAAAGTGTTCCCATTTTGTTATGTGTTGCGAAGTTCATTTTTTTTGGATGTTTTTCCGTTCCCAAAATTAAAATCACGTCATTGGGATTTCAATTAAACTTACACTATAACTCGACTTATCCCTCCTATATTTCACCTATATCAATTCGTTCTAACCTTTTCATTTTATTAGCCGTTTTTGATGTTTACAATTTCTTTTGGAAAATGTGCTGTTTTGGAGAAATTCGTTGCTGTCAGCATTTACAATAAAACTTGAGATTGGAAGGACTCTTTTATTTGTTTTGTGGCGATGGTAACGGTAAAATCATACTTTTCACATTAAACATCATATAATTATACTGTAAATTTTTATAAACAGAGTGAAAGAATGTGCAGTGTACTTGCTGCCATAAACAAAAAAAATGAACGAAATATGAGAAGAAAAATCTCAAGAGAGCGAGAAAATTGAATGATGCTGATTCACTGGGAGTAAGTCGAAGAAGTAGGAGAAAATCTTGTGACATATAAAACGCTGAGTTTAATATTCTGCGATTATAATAATATCAAATATCTCATGTATTGCATTTTTTTCGTTATCAAGCTGAACAGCAGGAAGAAAAGTCGACATTTTTCTTTCTTAGTATCGGAACGCATCGGATGCTGAGCAGCTCAAGCTTCGAAAAGCTCCCGGAGCCGCCTTTTCTCCCTTCCTTGAACCGCTGACTAATATTAGTCAGCGGAAACTTTTCGAAAAGTACTGCATCTATTATATGAGGGAAAACGCGACCGTTTTTGTTTTAGCATCTCAGAGCGTCCCTCAGCACGACATTGTATAGCATCTGAAACTTTGGAAAGCATTTTAAAGGCTCTGACAAACTCTGGGAGCCAATTTCCCCTCATTAAACTGAGCCATGTATCAGTATTAACCACACAGCATAGAGCTGAGTTGATTTCATTAAAAAACTGGGCACTTTTTCCACAGTGGACGGAATAACGACAAAGTTTTCTGCATGAAATGAGGTAAATAAGCCATTTTGTAGCGCAAAATCTGCTCTATATCCACATGCGTTTGAAGCAGTGTTTCCCAGTGCCAACATCGGACAGATTGTTCCGAAAGGTATACCGAGATAGAGCGTTAGTTTGTCGAGGAACCCTCGTCAGATATTGCGGATATTGCTCCCTGAAGCTGAAAATCGCAGGCTCTTAATGCTTTTTATTCGAAGACTGTTCAAAAAATTGTCGGAGAATACAACTGAGAATCAGGCCTTTTTACCGTGGGATGGAAAAAAATTCCTTGGAGGAGTGAAGAGATTAATTCGAAAATTGGAGCGTAGGACACAGCCAAACAGCCGAAAGTATATCAGCATTTCACCAAATCATTAGCATTTGATAGGAATACGCGCACATCAAGCTGCAAGATACCGGATTGTTTTCGAGTATTTTTCTGGAGGATTGCAAACTTCTTAGGAGCACTGTATGTGTTTGCAAGTTTATTTCTCATTATTTTCATCAACTTCTAGGTACATCGTTCGATTCAAATACTGTGTGGTTTAATGCGCAATTCGTATGATGCATTTACAAATCACTTGAGCAGTGGTTGTAGTATAAATTAGTTTTTGTGATTTACGTTCATAGTCCTGGAGTCATCGGTTCGCCGCTTGGTGTGGAGCTTTATTCTGCCAATTATAATCCTTAGCGTCTTTTTGTATCCTGTTTGGCGCATCAGTCTTCAGCAGTCAGCATTTTCTAGGCAGAACTCTACAACTGTATCTTTCAAATCCGTGCTTACTTCCGCGGAAACTCTAAATGAAACATGTAATAGTATACAAAGTCCCAATGGTCGTTTCCAGTTAAGTCTCGAGACTTCTGGCAACCTTCGTTTGTCCGAAATTCTCTACTTATCCTCTGTGAGGAATACATTTGGAAGACCGATCTGGTGGACCAACACTGGTGATTCATGGCCAGGACGACATATCGTTGAGTTGACGAATGAAGGAGAACTAAGAGTACGCGCGTCCACAGCTGCATGGAATTGGGTAGAAAGAAATGTCTGGTGGAGTAGCATGATACCTGGGTGTCGAAAGAGTGCTAGTGGTGGAGTGAAGCAACTGGTACTGGAAGACAATGGAAGTCTGAAAATATTCACTTCTGAGAAACAACTGCTCTGTCAGATCGTCGAACCTGTTGTTTGGACTGAGAAAGAATTCACGAGCTCCGTGGTATCCATTCCTAAGAAGTGGATGCCGCGTATATTTCAAGATTCTAAAGTAGACGAGTTCGATGCACCAAGAGGTCGATTAGCTGTGGTTATTGTCGGTTTGTACAGAACCAACCTGAAAACGTGCAACGGGCATGTGCGGAAAGTGATACAAAAGTGGCGAGGTACTGAAGCTGATGTTTTCATCTACACTTATTGGCAAGATGCCGATCTACCTAAGGGTACTATTCCCTCGGCCGAAAGCGTTGGCCACCGGTTAAGAGAATGTTACGGAAATTTCCTAAAGAGCTATAAGGTGAATGATTTGTCTAAAATTGAAGAAACCTTTCCGATTCCAGGTGGACCATCCACAGTCAGGCAGTGTGGTGGAAAGTTAAATCAACTTCAATCTCAATTAAAAACTTTGTATCTTGTTGGTCAACTTGTTCGAGATTATCAGCTATCTACTGGAGTTCGTTACGATCACATCATTCGATTTAGGCCAGATACGAAAATATGGGGACATGTTCCTGACCTCCCTCGCATGGATTTCACCAGCCTAAATGGTTTTGGAAGAATCTATCTGATACATCCAGGACGAGAGCACTACTTCTTTTGTGACCACCACGACGGTCGGTGGAGAACTGGTCCAAGTGACCAGGCGGCCTACGGTCGAGCTTCAGATATGTTCACTTATTTCGACATGTACCTTCACTTTTCCGAAATGATAAAGTCTGCGATAGGCGCCGGCACTCTGAATGTTAAAGCGAAGATGGACTGGAGTGAGATGGCAGGCGATCTGTGCGCTATTGAATGTCTGGTTGGTTATTGGATGGTTCTAAGAGGAATAGAATTTGAGGTATGGTGGGAATGGCAGCAGAATGTGATTAGACGAGGCGGAGGACTAGCTAAGGATTGTCGTCAAGGGTTCGATTGTCCATAACACTTCCTTATTCGCTTAGATGATGCGAAATGTGATGGTATAGTACTCGTATCACGCGAATCACAGTGGTTATTTCTGGAAATGTAGTGGCAAAGTCAGACGTACATGAAAAAGGTTCAAGAAATTTGATTAGAGGCCTTTTTGGCCGAATTTTAAGACGTTTAACCTATAGAAAGAAGCTTACAAAGACGTGATGGCGGACGATAGAATTGTTGCAAATCTATTTTTGGACTTGAAAAAGTAGAAGTAGTTTTTTGAAATACGAATTTTCATTTCTTTATATTGATACTACTTGTTTAATGAAAGATTTTTTATTTCGATTTTTGAAAACATGGTCAAATTCACATCCGTTCGATTCAGCGTACAAAAGTAGGTATACCATTTTGTAGTTAGGCTCTAGAACCTTTTGGATGTTGAGTAAACCTAATTTTTCTAAAAGCCCCTTTGGTTTTTCTCAAAAACGCCCAGTTTTCAGTATTTTACTTACAGTTCCGCGAACTTTAGTTCAGACTTTTTGAGCCACATTTCGTTTGAAAGAACATAAAAGACTGAATATAAAATGACACACATCTTTTCAAATTTCAAACTTAAAACCTGATGTTGAGAAATTTAAAACTGTAATTTTTTTGAAACCTGGTTTTCTCGAATAAATCGAAATTTTAGAATAGCCCCGAAATCAAATCAAAGTAAACACATTTTGTAGTCCTAGCAATTTTGAACAAACTGGATGCAAAAGTTTCAAATTTCGCCTGATAGAGGAAAACTGCAAACAAGCTGGACTGATCGAAACCGAGTTTTCAAAAAAAATATGAATACTTTGCGATTTAGCCTCTTTATACTTGTCCAGAGGCAAAATAAAGCTGATATTCGTTATCAGCGTGAAAAACAGAATCGAACTATGTATGTTTCACGGACTTTCCAAAAAGCAAGCTTAGAGAAAAACTGGGGAAATTAGGTTTTTCTAGCATTTTCAAAAAACTCGACTTTGATTGGTTATTTAAAGTTGTTGGCTAAGAAATTTGTGCTGGCTAAAGTAACCAATAATGTCCAATAGTCACGATTCGAAATACGTGTAAATTGGTCTTATAACATCGGCCATGTAAAATTATTTTCTGTGCAATTGGTAAATTTAGTTAAATCCATTTTTCCGCTACATTGTGATGAACGGCCGTCATATGAATAACTAAACAAACACGTTCAGAATTTCTTCATGGGTAGCATCGTACATAAGCTGTAAACAAAGAGAATTCAACCGTGATTTAAGTGATAGTGGCAGGACTTGAAGTAACATAAATATATTCATATTTTCGCAGTTAATTAGACTTATGAAATTGAAATTTACCGTTGAAATCGGATCGACGAATCGACAGATTTCATATTTTTTAGTAACGCTCAAAAAGTCTGAACTAAAGTTCGCGGAACTGTAAATAAAATACTGAAAACTGGGCGTTTTTGAGAAAAACCGAAGGGGCTTTTAGAAAAATTAGGTTTATGGATAATTGAGTATGTTGAGCGAGTTTCGTGGCAATATTTGTTTTTAGAAAATGTTTTAAAAATTTACCGAAAAGCCAGTTTTACGAAAGTTCGGGTTTTCAAGCTGTTCTCACCTAATATTAAAAACTTCACTATTCACTCGAAAAACATCAGAAGAAGCTCAAAATCTCAGGATATGATTCATGTTGTCCGCTAAACGTGATTATAAGATCGAAAAGATCTAAGAGCATAGTTTTGTTAAGCATAATTGTGTTCCAGAAACCCTTTTGGAAAACCTTAGGATTTTTTAAAATTTATTTCGAGATTTCCTATAAACAGGGTATAGAATAGCTTAAATACTCTACATTCCGAAGCTTTGAGCTTGTTCTAATGTTTTTCGAGTGAATAGTGAAGTTTTTAATATTAGGTGAGAACAGCTTGAAAACCAGAACTTTCGTAAAACTGGCTTTTCGGTAAATTTTTAAAACTTTTTCTAAAAACAAATATTGCCACGAAACTCACTCAGCATGCTCAATTATCCATAGTCCCATCCGTCTTTAAGGCTACAGAGAGTCACCGAGTGCTAGTCCTCGAACTCGTCGGAAATCCGATACTACACCCGCAGAAAATCAGTATCTTACTTTACTCCCATTTTGAAGAAAACACCCGGGCCACCAGTCGATGAGAAAAAAACAATACATTCCTATGTGAATTTCGGAAAACCCAAGCTAGTCTTCCAAAGATCTTCTGAAAATCTCGCTTCAGAAGTTTTTTCGAAATTCGCTTTTGCTTATAGAAATATGTGGTCAGATGTCTAGTTTTCAAACCTGAAGTTGAAAACTATGGTACAAACAGTTAAAGCTACTAGGTTCTTCTTACGAAAAGGATTTAAACAGAGCAGACTGAGCTTGTATTCGTTTTGTTTATAGAAGTATTGTGAAAAGACTGATTTTCTAATCATCTTTCACTAAAGGGGTGGACACATTATAAGACGCTCCGAAGGGGTCTTATAATGGATTCCGAATTTCACATTATTTCCTTAACAAAACGTTTCTTAACCGAGAAAAATCGAAAATATCTGTAAAAATCGTCTACGAAGCTTCAAACTACAGCTCCAGTGCAAAGCGTCTGTAAAACCACAACTTAAAATTGTACCTCATCGACGTTTAGGTTTGGTTTCACATTCTAAAACAGGCAGATTACCATCACCATTCAAATTAAATCAAGATTATCTTGACGAACTTCTGAGAACACATTCTACTTCCGATCCAAAAAATCTAAAAATTAGTGTCGGATCAGCGATTACTATCCATCCCAAAATACAAGACCCGTCGGCATTTTTTGAATAACTTTTGATAAAAATGAGATAGAGACCTGCGATTTTCGCTGTTCTATAGCCAAGACTTGAGTACGATAAAATTAAAGAAATCCACAAAAAGGTTGGACTTCGTGGTCGAGACAAGGTTTTGTCTTAATATCCGAACGAGGTTTACCTTAGTATGAGAAACCTATAAGCGAGAAGATTCAGAACGCATTACAACACACTAGCTAATGGTTTGGAAAACACTTGGCGGTTCCTACATGCATCACACCGGGAGATAGATATTTTGACCGCTTCGAGTGGTATCCACCCACATTGATTATTCATATAACGACAGTGGATTACTATCAACATAAATGTCGTCTTTTGGTAAAAGAAACCCTAGTAATGCGTGCTATAACATCAGCGTTATATCGATATAAAGTTAAATGGTGCCAGATTGCGAAAGTGTTCTATCATTACGTCCTTTCGACCACGTATTAGAAACAAATGTTTTTGACGTGAATTTCATATGATTTTATTTGAAATAACAACACAATTAAGTAAAAACTATAGATGCTGTTTCAAAAAATTTTATCGACATTGACAATAACACTTGTCTATTCGCCGTCTATTTTCGCAGAATTATTCTTGCTCTTGTTTCAACAGAAAATAAGTCGAAAAAGCATTGGATAATCAATCTCCTTGTTCAGTGAATGAGTTAATACACAAGTGAGTATGACAGACCGACTTCACACTGTTGTACTTTTGAACTTGAATTAATATATCAAGACGTGCGTGTTTTTACAATATTTCCAGATTATGGAGACGAAATATCATATCGTTAGTAAAAAGAATCGTTCGCTTACTATAATAAATGAAATACCTCCTTTGCTTTGATATCACTCTACACACAACTAGTCAGGATCTATAAAACAAAGTTTCTGAAATGTGCTGTTTTATTGGCAAAATTGTTCCTTCTAGCGAATAAAAAAATATGAATATCTCTATCATTTCTTAACTATATCAGCTCGCTGTTTCTGCTGGTCACCATCCTCTTGTCACTGCACAAAGAGCTACGATAGGCATTGCTCTGAAACTATCCATATATCCTATGATTCTAGGCCGAGCTAATTCTCCTAAAATTTCAACGAACACCCATGAGGGTAATTTTTGTTGAAAACTTGCGATATATCGAGATATTATGCTAAATGTGCTGAAATATCGCGATAATGAGCAACTCTGTCGCGATATAAAAGGGAGTGCAGTTTATCGCAGTCTCTCGGTAAAACGCAGTAGGCAAAACTATCGCGGTATACAAGTCATTTAGCGTTGTAAATACCAGTATATCAATAAACAGCGATTAATATTTATCGGACTTTATCTTGATAAAAGTACCATCGTTATATGTGTGATCTTTATCTCCAAAAGCAAAAGTATCGCGATAAACTCCAATACATTTTTATCGAGTATTATCGTGATAAAAGGGTCATCTTGATAAGAAGCTAAAAGTATCGCGATTAAATTTTTATCCCGATGAATGAGGAGATTAATTTTCCCGTGTTTTATCTCGATATAAAAGAACATAGCGATAACTAGTAAGATTACCGAAGATAACTGATTCATCTCGATAATTTCCGAGGAAAATTATCGTGGTTTTTAAAATTCACGATAAAAATATCACGATTGAGCTTCTAGTTATAGTATTATGTGGTTTTTTCAAGGGTCATGTGTATATTGTGTTTCGCTATGTTTCCTCTTTGCCAGAGATTCTCTTTCCCTCGTTTTGAACAAGAAAATTTCTGCTGCAGTTTGAATTGGCAGTATACTCCATTTCTCTTCGAATTTGTTTTCTCGCGTCCAGCTAATGCAACACTTTGATCGATGTGGTAATTGGACGTTATTATGAACATTCAATTATATCAATAATGATTTTCACCTATCTTAGTGCCTTGAACACTCTGTCAGTCGTTTTTATACCATAACGAAAAGTTTGTATTGTTCAAAACATACCATTGGATAGCCCTTGAAATTCTCTACAGAGTGAGCTGGTCACAATATCCAGAAAGGTGGAGCCAGTCATTAAAGATATGGAAAAGAAGCTTTTGGGTGTTATCTAAGCAGTACAGTGTGTCATAATCACAAGAATGCCCTTGTTTTTGACCTTTTAGTAAAAGCTGGAAC